CCCTCCCTCTTGCCCTCCCTCTCTCCCTCTTGCTCCCCTCTGACCCTCTCTCTCCCTCTCACACGCGCACGTGTGTCCCCTCTCTCCCTCCCTCGCTCTCTTCCCTCCCCCCCCGACGTACACACACACAGAAGGAGCGAGGCGGTGAGCTGCCCTGCTCAGCTCGGCCAGGGATCAGAGACCGGGAGCACCCAGTGGCATCCCTTGCACACTCCCTGGGTGGCTCCCAGAGGTCACCCCTCTGCTCCGGTTTCCTTGTCTACCTCATGTGGACCCAGCATGCACCGACAGCTCACAGGACAGAGGAGCCGTCGGCCAGGGACTCAGCTGCCGCCCACTGCACTGGGACTGTGCCTCTGACCACTGATCCTCTCTGGGACAGAGCCCCGGGGCCTGGCTATGCCTATCCTCCGCGACAGGCCCCAGCAAGGTCCACCAGCCACAGCTCGGCATTGACCAGGGAGCGCCAGGTGCTGGGCAGAGCCAGCGAGGGCGGGAGGCAGAACCGGGGCAGGCCCCTCTCCCTGTCTCCACGCCGCCTCAGCTCCCCCGACCTGCCCACCACAGAGGGGCCTTGCCCCATCACCCGACCTGCCTGTCCACGGCCCTTTCCTCTAGCCTTGCCACCCAGTGGGGTCAGGGCAGGTGTGCCCATGTCAACACCTGGCCATGTGGTACCAGGGCTGCCTCTGCCCACCCACACACAGCAGGCAGGGAGGGATCCCCGCTCCCAGTGGTGGGCAGACAGGTGTGTGGCACCCCATCCTCTCCCTAGCCGCTGACTCGCCCCGAAGCTGCCCACACCCCCTCCCGCAGAGGGTCATGAGCTGACGCCCGGCCTCCTGGGCAGCTGCTCTTCTTCCTTCTTTCCATTGTCAGAGGGCACGAGGGGAGAACCCCGTGGGTGCACCACACCATGTCCCTCTCCTCCGTGTCCCTGTCCTGGCAGGGTCTAGGGGCATGCTGGCCTGGCGTGTTCTAAGTCGTCAGGGCAGGCAGGAGGGTCCCGCCATCCTCGAGGGCCCCATTGCCCTCCCTGCTAGGTCCGACCGCTACCCAGAGGCCGGGAGCTGTGGCCCAGGCAGGACTCCTGGTGCCCTGTGACCCAGGCTGGCTGCCCCGCCCCAGGCCTTCCAGTCCGGCACTGAGCTGGCAGACGTCTGGTGAACGCTCCTCCCCCTACCCCCCACCCCCGGTCAGGGCAAGGACAAGGTGTCACGGGTCACACTGACAGGACGCCACTCAGGCTTCCCAACCCCACCAGCTCGCAGGAAGGGAGGAAGGGTGGCTGGCCGCTCCAGCAGCCACGGCTGACACTTCCCTTCTCATGAGCGCCTCGTGAGTGAGGGCCCGAGGGAGTCAGACGGAGCACGCACAGCTGGGCCCTGCCTGGCCAGCCCCTGGTGGCCATGGGACGGCGGCCCAGGAGGGCAGGCCAGGCAGGCCAGGGGCCAAGGGACGTGCGGGCGAGGCCCCAGCTGACTCCAGCGGGCTGCTGCCTGACCCTCCATGGCTGTGTTGGCCAGAGGGGGCCATCTTGGAGTGCCACCTGGCCCGGTCCTCGTTACTGAGTAACCAGGACAGACAGGGTGCAGGGCTATCTCTCGGCTGTTAGCTGACAGTCCACCTCGCTCCTTCCAAGGGGCACTGTGATAGTGCCGCGGCCTCGATAAGACAGCCGGGGCACTTTCGGGTGGGGTCAGGGGACAGTGGTCTGCCAGCCACCAAGACAAGTGCACAGGGGGCCGTGGCCACAGGGAGGCTGCACGGTGGCATCGCGGGTCCCGGGGAGGCAGGCCCACACCCCTGGCCCAGTGGCCCCCAGTCACCCCAGGCCCCTCCTTGCTTTGCAGCCAGTCCCGATGGCCACGCTTGACCGGTGAGGACCTGTACTCCCTGGTGACCCGCCCTGGGCAGCGCGGGGCCACACGGTGCTGGGCCGGTGGAGGGTAAGGTGGCCTCGGCGTGGCCCTGAGGAAACGGGGACTGCGCAGTGGCCTGTACCAGAACTCGGCAGCTCGGCAGGGATGGAAAGCTGCACGCCGTGAGGGCCGGCCGGGAGAGCGAGGCCCTGGCGGGCTCCAGACCACCCTGAGCCCTGGCTGCCTTCCGGGCCAGCCCAGGCCTGAGTCAGGTGGCCTGCCCAGCCGGAGAGCGGGGAAGAGGGAAGAGGAAGCTGCAGTGGGAAGGAAGAGGGGAGGGGGAAGGGCAGTCACGGGTGGGCCCCGAACCCCGCCTCCCCGCAGGAGCCTTGCCCTGCCCGAGCTTCCCACACTGCTCTCAGCTGCCTCTCCCTGCGTGGGCACTCGCCCCTCGGCCTTGGTGTGGCCTCCATGAGACCAGCTGCCTCTCAGGTCCTTGGGGGCCTGAAGGGGACGGAGGCACAGGGGGGTGTCTGTCCACGTGCTCCCCTGGGAGGGCGCCAGGGCCTCTTCCTGACCCCACTGGGCAGAGCTTTTGGCCTCGGCATGGGCACCAGCTCTGCCTCAGCCTCCTGCCACTCCCAACGCTTGGGATGGGGACTACGGCAAGGTGAGCGACGTGGGAGGCCTGTGGCTCCTGCTCCTCCTGCCTCCCCACCCTCCGCCCTTTCCTGTCCATCCGGCTGTGTCACCCTGGCCTTCCTCCCACGGCCTGGGGTGCTCCCTGCACAGCCCAGGAAGTGGGTGCAGCCCCGGAGTCCTAGTCACAGCTGTCTCTCTGGAGCGGTGCCCCAGACATGCCCACGCAGCCCGGCACAGGAGCCTTGGGAGCTCGGGCTCAGCGACACCGTGAACAGCGACACAGCCCATCCTGGCAGGTGGTGGGAGGGCCGGGCCGCATTGCCTCCCCAGGCGGGCCTCGGCACAGGCCTGGCACTGGCCCCACAGTTCCTAGCCACGACCGGGGCTGCCCGGCCCCCGTGGGCTAGAGCCCCACATCTCTGCCCTGCAATGATCAGCTAGAACCCCGCTCTCCCCCTGTCACCGTTAGACCCCGCTCCCCCCCTGTCACCGTTAGACCCCGCTCCACCCCCCTGTCACCGTTAGACCCCGCTCCCCCGCCTCCTGTCTCCACCCTGCCGATGACCACGGCCACACAATTGCCAGCACTGTGGTCCCGGCCCAGAAAACCTCGTGACCCCCACGTTAAGGCCACCTTCTCCACCGTGTGGGATGAGCCCCTCCCTCCACAAACACAAGGGCACCTG